AATTAGCTTATCATGTAGAGCACAAGAAATTCAGTAAGTCTTAGTCTGCCAAGTCTCATGGGACTCTGTCCAAATAATCTGGGGAGGCAAGCATTCAGAATGAATATTATATAGATCTTTGAATGACCAAGCCAACACCTCTTCATGTTTATAAAGAACTAATATGAAAAATTTCTTCTTCCAACTTGTCAGCTCAAATTCAATTTTGAGCTTCTCAATTCTCTTATTTGTTAGCCATTCTTCAACAGGAAAGGGCACAATTCTAGATCTAATATGATTATCAAATTCACAATTAAATGTGATGCATTTCTTCTCAGGATAATACTTATTCAAATAAATATTCACTCAATTATCTAGGTCTTCTGGCTTGCTTCCATCAGATTTTCCAGGTGCTAATAGTCTTATCTTATCAGCTTTCTGCTTATAAGTAGTGCACACTTTCCAGACCTCTGAAGAAGACAGTCTGATATTCTATCCACTATTGAAAATGTCTATCTGATGTGATTTCTTTGTGACAAAATTGTGATTTTTGTTCAGAGATGCATAAATTGATGAAGCACTTTGTGGAATAGGTTTGCAAATTAAACTGGAATTTATATTATGTGTGTAATGTTTGTAGTAAGCTGTGATGCTGTCTGGATTGGGAAGTGGAGGTCAGAAAATCCAAACTCCTGATGCAAAATTATTCTTGTCTTCTGATTAGTCCATTTGATTCACCAGCATGCTGGTCAATCTGATTAGGCTTAGTGTGCTTTTGGATTCACCAATGCCAGAATTATGTTTTTCCTCATTGCTGTAATCACCAACACCAGCAATGCTGTCAATGCTTCCAACTTCTCTATTCTTTTCAATCTCCTGATCTTCAATCTTCTCATCATTAATTCTTATACTTATTGTCTTCATCATATCTTCTTCATTCTTCTCAGGTCTTGTATCCACAGGCATCCACCTGATTAAATGCCTGTTGAATCATTTAAATAATTGCTGTTTAATTTATTAGTTACATATCTCATGTTGCTTGAGTTTGGCTTAAAGTCTTTGAAAACTAGACAATATATTTGTTTCTTGTTATAAATTTCACAATTTACTTCACTGTCTTCTGAGATGTTGCACCTCCAACAGATAGTAAATTGTCAAGATCTTTCAAGAATAAGTTGCTGATCCTCTCTCTCAAATATAAGAAAAGAGGTATGTGTAACAATATCTCCAATTTGAACAGACACTTCATCACAAAATACATAAAAAGAAGTGACTTCTTCTGTTTGAACAACCATGATCACTTGTGGCTTATTTTTCATTGACAGATTCAACATTTCAGCATACTTCCAAGACAACAAATTAATTTCTGAACCAGTATCAATTAATGCTATTAATTCTTGTTGGTTTATAGTGACTAATGTATATAACTAACATATTTCATATGCTGTTTTGGATTTTGGCACCATGAGCTTTGATGTAAGGTAGTTCACCACTAAACAAGCTACACCACTAAATGAGCCAAATTTCGCCAAATGCTCCACGCAATGAATTTATTAAATATCTCAACAACAAGATCTTTATTATTAAATAGCTATTAAATATTAAATAAATGTATTTTTTAAAGCATAGAAATTAGTATAGTTAGGAAAATAAACAGGTGGACGGCCTAATATTATGGCCAGAGCGAGAGATTCAGGGGGTAGATAGGAAAGAATTCAAAGGAATGTCAACAGTAGATTTCTTAGCTAGGGAGCCTAATGCCTTGCTAGAGATGCTTGTAAAGCTCTTACTTCCCCTTTTGGAAGGTTGTATAGGCTCTTCATAATGAGGCTCTTTAGTAGGGGAGTCCTTCTGACAGTGCTTTGAAGCTGGTGCTTGAAGCTCTGACTGCCAGTGTTTATTAGCATGTTCAACTGCCTGTTTTTCCTTCTCTGCTAGTTGTAAAGCCTTCTTCTCCTCATAAGCAACATGTTGTGCCTCTCTTTGTCTAGCATATTCAATTTTTTCAGTCTCTTGTTACTTCTGGGTCTTTTTACAGGCATCCTCCCATTCAATCTATCTTTTTTCAACATCTCTAGCAGCCTGCTTCTTTTGAAGGTCTCATTGAAGTTTTATCTCTTGTGTTTGAGCAATTTTATCAGCTTTTTCAGTCTCTATTTCATCCAGGCGCTTGTGTGCCTTAAGAACTTTTGTTGGAGACCAGAACTGCACTTGACTAGAATTATCTCTATTAAGTAGGCCTAGGGGCTTGCCTCACTTGCAGCATTGCTTCTCCATCACTAGAGTTGATCTTAGCTGCTGATTCTCATGTTCCAGCAGTTCATTACAAAGAGCAAACTGCTTACTGGCTTGGATAACCCATCCAATGCTCTGTAAATTTAGGCTGTGCCAGAGACATATATTCTTGATCTCTTGTTAGAGCTGGTGCATATTGCTAGAAATAGAAGGTTTAACTGACAGTGTAGGGGCTTGAGCAGTTTCAAATCAGTGTAGTTAATATTGAGAATCCAGAGGGTTAATTTCAGTCTTTGCAAAGCCAGCAAGTATATTTTCAACTGTCAAAGCCTTCTTTCAAGCTACATTGAATAGTCTCCAGAAATCCCTTTTTGTCATTCAAATATAGCTTATTTCTTGATGTAGTAGTGCTTCCAGCTCATTGGAATATGCCTTGCCCAGCAGCCTAAAGATTCCAACATCAAGAGATTGCAAACAGTAGGTTGAATGCAGCAGGAGAATCATAAGAAGAATCCTTTTACAGTTAGCATATTCAATAAATTTCATATTTATATGGGAGGAATGGCCATCTAGTAGAAGCAGATATCTTTCTTGACCAGCTTGTTTCTTAGTATGCTGATTGAAAATCCATTTCAACCACTGTAGTCCATATTCATCATTGCTCCAACCATTTGTTGAAGCTGCAAAGTAGACCTATTCACTTCCATCATAATCATCTAGCCATGTATTCTGGAGATCTCATGATTCACTCTGATAAATAAGAGCTGGAGGTAGTGCAATTTCTTCAGCAGAGACTGAGCAGAGCAATGAGAGGAATTCCCAACTATCATTCTGGGTGGCAGCATTCTTTCCAGCTTATAGAGCTTCAATAGAGACTAATCACTTTGAGGCATGGCAGGAGCCTAGAAGGAATCCTTTTTCATTAAAGTTGTAGATATTTGAGGGCTTAAGATTATATTGATCAATTTTCTGCTCCAACTATTTCATAAGTAGTAGTCAAATAGTTAGCCAGCATCAACAACTGCAATTGCAAGTAATCAAATAAATCATCAAATTACAAGCATATAGAAGTGCTTAAAGCACTGATAGTTATCTGCTACCTGTCTATTTTGATCAATTGCTTTGAGATAAATGCATTTGATCTTGTCATTATGTCACTCATGAAATTAATTAACCCAGTTGATTCCAACATCCTCTCCTGTCATCTCTTGTACAATATTTTGTAGAATCTGAGGTGTAATGGCAAGGCTGCAGCTAGAGAGCTTGTTTATATAATTCAGAAGCTCTGCCTTCTGTATATCAGAGAGCTTTTTCTTATATTGAGAGGCTGCTTCATTCTGAGCAAGTTGCAAGTCTTTATGCTGTTGGTGCAGGGTCTCTTAGTTAACTGAGTACTTTCTCGTGGTTGCAGCATAATTTGGGGTCTCTTGTGATTCAAGATCTTCAATTGCAAGCCTAATTGAGGTGTTGTTGACCATGTTGTCACATATTGAATATTGAATGTTGGAGGAATTTTGGTGGTGGAAGATTTGGCTTGTTTAGTGGTGTGGCTCGCTTAGTGGTGAACTACCTTAAGTCAACTAGAATTGATCTTTAGCTCAGGCTGAACTAGTTTAGAGACTCCAATTTTTGCATAGCTTTTGCTAGTACTGTTATTCCAGCCTGATCTAAAGAACACTTGATGAAGTTTTGATGATATATCTATAAGCTTATTGACTGACAATTTGACTTTTCATTGAGAATTCAACTCATTAATTCATTGGCATCTGTTGAATTACAGATCTGAGAGAATAAGCAATCTGTTGCAGAATATCTTAATCTTTGTTTCTCTGTGAACTTACTCTGAATTTCAGGCTTCTTCTAATTAATTGATTCAATATCTTTCATGACATTATTATTAACACTAGCCTGATTATTCTGGTAAGTAATAAATTATCCAGTATGCTGAGTATGGGCATTGCAATCTTAGCTCTTTAATTATTCTTAGCTTCTCCAACTGTTTCAATATTGACTGATGTTCTTTCTTCCAATGGATTATATTTCTTATCTGAATCAGATTCTCCATCAGATATTAGATATGCAAGTCATCCTGCTTGAATCTTTATACTGATTGAATTTGTAGAAGATATCCCTTCTTGCTGATTGATCTTCTTTTTAGAGCTCATTGGCTCTGGAATTGTTCATTTATTCTCTTCCATAGACTGTACAATATACATGTTCAGAATTCCAGGTTTAAGAGTGACAGCTTGATAGTTTTGACTCTTAGAGCCCATGTGTAAGTTCTCTTTGTCATCAATATAGCAGTATTTGTTACTTATATCAGATTGGTATTTATAATACTGAGATTGATGATGTCCAGGTTTTTCACAGTAGAAATATGAGAGATGTGTTGAAATTCCTCCAGTTCAAGCTTCTTCTTGTCCATAAGCACCACTATAGTCTATCATAAAAGAGTCATTTCAAGCTAAATAGAGATTAACTGGCAGTTGAGTATTCTCTTGTACAGTTGTAGAATTAACAGTCACATTTGTTGGATAATTTAGTATAGATTTTGGAGATTCTTCTCTCTGCAGTATATAATACTGATTAGAATTCCCTTATATCTGATTTGATTGTACTCTCATAACCAATGCCAAGTTTGTGAACTTATTAGTCATCTTTTTAATAGCAGCTTTAATATCAGTGCTGTCAGAGCTCTTGACTTTGGATTTTGATTTGAATTCTTCAGTCTTCACAAAACTAGCTGTTTTCTTTGGAGCTTCAACTGTAGAGAGCTTGTTAGCTAATTAATATTGCTCATCAAGCTTCTCCATTTTCTTTTGTCTCATTTTATCTTCTTTAAAAATCTTCTTATTTTCTTCATACTGGTTAATCAAATTTATAGTCATCTGAATAACTTTTCTAAAATCAATAGGCAATATATCATCTGAAAGATTGAGCTTGGCCTTGTCAATAATCTTATTCTGAAGCTTCTCAGATAGCTCCTGAAGAAACCAAGACATCTTAGTGAATTCATCAAGTCTTCCATTGGCTTGTACTGTACTGGTGATTGTAGTGTATTCTTGAATATAGATACAAATATTGCCATTTCAAGCACATGGTTTCTTTGTAATTGCCTGGAGGTAATTCTAACAGTGAATCTTGTAAGTAATGTCTTGATCATGAAATTCATGAATAATCTCTTTAGAGAATACTTCCCAATTATCTTCTTTATAGTCTTTCAAGATCTTCATTCATTCTCCAATCCATGTAACACAGTACCTAGCCAACCATTCAATAATGTTTTTAGGATCAATTACCCCATGATCCTTGCACATCTGATAAAAGCTTTCAATAAACAGGATAGCATCTCTGCTGTCAAACCAAGATGCATTTGCTGTGCCAGGGGAAGGCATAGAAATGTGGGAATAAACCACAATTCTCTTGTTCTCACCCTGTAATATAGTTGCATATGATTCTGTAGTATCTTCAGCCATAGTTGATTCTGATTCTGATTTCTTGGTTTCTTAATCTTTAGTCATGTCACACAGTATGTTCTGTCTATTAGTTAATATCTTTCAAAAACCTGTTTATCAGGCAAGCTCTAGATAAGAGGCATTCAAATCTAAGCTCCCTAATCTTATTTCTAAATAAAAAAAAACTGATTAGTACTGTGTTCCTAGTTTATAAGATCTTATCTTGAAATAGTGTATTGCTTCATGTGTCTCAGAATTTATTTTTCTCTTTCTTGATAGTCACCAAATCACTGCATTATCATCTTCAGGTCTCAGCTTGATTACCAAATGGAGTAGAGTATAATGGGATGTCTTGTCAAGATAGATGAGTTGATTGATATGGTGAGAGTGCAAGAAAGGTGAAAAATCACAACATAGTAAGAGTATGGTCAAGTAGTAAGTGTAGAGATAAGTATGTTCTAACAGATGTCTAAGCTCACAAGAAGTAATAGTACTAAAGAGCCCTGTACTAATACAGGCAGCTCTAATAAGGAACAGTAGCAAGTTTCATGAACAAGAAATCTTCATATTCACTAACTAATAACTGAACTGGTAGTAAGGAATGAGTGTGTAGAAAAGAGCAATGATATGTGAAGATAATAGGCAAGATGCAGGGGCTACAGATGGTTTTTATAGCTCAAGAATAGTAGCTTTGGAGTGGTTTGCGCCTTGAAGTGGAACAATCTTTGTTCTAATAAGGTACTGGAATCCCCACTACAGTATCATCAAGAAAAGACTACAGAGATCAAGAATAAAGCTTGGTAGAAAAAGAAGATAGAATTTAAAAGTAACAAAATTTGGTAACAGTTCTGACATATTTAGGCCAAAACAAGCCAGATGCAGCATTCTATTACTGCATATAGAGAGGCCTGATTCTGCCAAATGATAGTCAGACTTGAGATCAAGATTATGATCTATAATCATGATTATCTTGCTGCAGTTAGTGTGTTAAGAAAGAGGGTTAAGAAGAAGATAAGAGAATTTCTGAGCCAATTACAGAGTCTGAGTCAAGACAACAATAGCTCACCTGTTCCAGAGAAGATAAAGAAAGATGATTTTGAGATTGTGATGTTCTCTAATAAGAATGATAAGGAGAACAATGAGATGGAGAATGATTGAATTATTAATATCTAGAGAAGAAAGTTAGGTTTTTAGTTCTTTTTTCATATTAATTTGAGAATGGGGTGCTATTAAATTGGCAAAATGTTTTATTTTCCTGAAGAAGAATGTTCCATTTTGTACAAGAAGAAGATTTTATACTTGGTTGCTGTACTTACAGAGTAAAATAAGGCTAACTATTTAGAGATTGTCAAATTTTGTGTGAGCTCTGACCATATTTTGTTACTTTTTTGACTAAGGCAGAACTTAGAGAAAAATCAATTTGATTGTGAAAAAAAAAAAAAAAAAAGAAAAGAAAAACCTAATGACTGAAGCCAGCAAACAAGCAAAATCTACAGAGATTTCTTCAGAATTAATTATAGTTCAACATGAAACAAAATAATTTGTATTGTGGAAGGAGCTGCATCATAAGTTATTTGTTACTTGATAATTGACTACTGAAGCTGCTTAGTTGGTTAATAATAAGAAGTGTGGTGATCTCAACTGAAAGGTAAAGCTGTCATTCTGATTTTTGATCAAAATTTGATCAGATGGCAGAGCATTCTAAGAGTACTTCAGAGATGATTTGCAAGCATTGCTAAATCTTTCTTAATTATTCAAGCTTTTCTTGAAACAGTACAAGTGATCTGAAGAAGTATTTAATAAGTAAAGATTATATAAAAACTGGTGACAGACAGAGTAATACTCTGATTAACATGATGGTAAATTATGAATTCTAATTTTCCAAATGTAATGAATTTTAGTAACAGTTCTGGTGTCTTAGTAACAGTTTCTGAAGTATTCTCAAACAAATTCAGATCTGTCTGTTTCTGAATGTAATCAAGACAATTTTCTTCAGCAGCTTGTGCAAACATTAATATTCTTGAATTTCTTATTTTGTGCTATTGAGAATTCAGTATTCTGTATATTAATAACCATGCTCAACTCTGCAATGGCTTTACAGATACCCATATAAGAAACATTATATCAGATTATGAATAATATATACAATCAGCTATTTTAAAATCTTCTCTTTAACCATGATTCAACAATCAAGATATCTCTGACAGTGAATAATTAAACAAGTCCCAATAATCTTGCCTTTATGACAATTAATAATTATTATATTATAAAGAATTGGAAGTACTGTAAGCATTTACTGAGTTTTGAAAGTTTAGAAAGTGCTTATACTGACAAGAATATAGCAGAGATTCTTCAATAATTACTAGCAGTATAAAGACTTGAGATTAATCTTCTTATAATTACAAGTAACAATATGTTAAACAATGATATCATGCAAGCACATCTTACATATTAGTTGAGACCAGTATTGCAGCAGTTGAACAAGACAACTGATTAAGATGTAGAGAGTGGAACAATACTCTATCTTATATAATTCAACTTGTGATTTAAGAGCTGGTTTGCAATCTCAAGATTCAGCCAGACAATAATACTCTACTCACTATCTTTAATGAGAGCTTAATTACTGATGATCTAGTATTAACAGACACATTTGCAAATACTCTTAGAAAGATAACAAAATTTGATAATAGTCTTGATATACTTGAGTTGATTTACTAATCTTTGCTTGACAATAGATTCATCTTGTTGCTAATGCAACCAATACCTTTTCTCAACTCACTGCACATTTCTGAGAATATTAATAAGAGAACCAGTGCAAGATGATTCAAGATATTTGCACAAGATGGAATTTCATCTATAAGATATATGTTTGTGTCTTGTTGCTTTGACAAGCTGTGAACTTATGGATTCAGGACTTATCACTAAAATACCAAAGACTTTACTTATTGGACCATAACTGGAAGCAGCTAGAGTATATAGTTAAACTGTTACAGTTATTCAGTTAATTTACCAAGATACTGTCCAAAATAACAGACTCAATAATTTATCTGGTATGGGCAACATACAATCATCTTTTCCAGTATTTAGAAAGAGAGAAGAACAAGGCCCAACAGTTAATAACAAGAGAGAATATTCAAGAAGCTATCAAAGCTGCCAACTTGAAATTCCAGAAATACTATAGTGATACTGAGCATTCAAAGAGTGAGCTGCTAGCTGTAGCTGCTGCTCTCCATTCATCATATCACATAAAAGTATATGATTCAGAGAATTAAACTAGTGATGAGTGTGAAACATACCAACAATATATTTTAAGGTTTTACAAAAAGTATTATGAGAAATATAAACAGTCAAGAGAAGTAATACTTAATATAAATAATGTATGTTTATTATAAGTATTATTCTGATTTCTTCTCTGCTAACTTCTCTAAAATATTGAGGAAATAATTTTTGAGAGACTTCATTAAAGATAAGCAAATTTTCAAAATGAAATGGAGCAATATTTAAATGACAAGAATTTGACATTATCTTGAGCTCCAATTCTGGAATAGTGGAGAATGCTAGAGTCTAATTTTTCAACTGTTGCTTAGATGGCAAGAAATATTCTGGCTATATCTTTAACAGAGGTTGGAGTAGAACAGATTTTCAATGTTGCTTGGAATACATGTTATTATTAATAATTATGGCTTCATGCATCTACAATCAAGAAGATCATGCTGCTTAAACATGGAGATAAGGTGCATATACTAGATAAAGCACTTATATTGCATGAGAAGTTGGTTAAGAAAGTCATTCAAGATAATCAAGATGATCAAGATACTACAGAGATTATACAGAAAGAGATTGCAAGCCTGCTAAATCCACTAGTTAATTCAGATAAGAAACAGAAAATATGTCAATGTTATTAATAGATAGACTCAAGTAGCTAATAGCTTGCAATATCATTCAATTATGCAAAGAGCATTACCAAATTTCAGTACTTTTCTGAAGTTGAATAAATTAATAAAATTATGTTAGAACCATTACCAAATTTCATTACTTTTTGACAACACAAATGGGACCAGAATTTCTGGTCTCATTCTACACTTTACTGGTTCTGTCTCATATACAATATTGAAATTCTGATTCTATCCTATTTTCTCATATCAGGTTCTGGGCCCATTCTACTAGCTAGATTTTGATCCCAGTCCCAATCCTATTTTAATCCCAGTTTCCATGGAACTGTCCCAATATGCTGTTAAACAACCCAGTCCCATCTCATTAAGCTGAGCTTCAACCTGATCCTATCCTCAGGACAGGAATTGGGATAGGAATCTGGGACCAGAATGGGAAATCCCGGAACTAAATACCACTCTAAAGCAAATCATATAGAAATATGCTTTATAGAAGAGAGTCTTGTAAAATAATCATGTTAAATTCTTATATAAAAAAATGTTTAGTAAAATAAATCACAACTGTAGATATTGTAAGACTTCAGATTATGTTATATAACAATACTTTCATCTTCTCATCAACAAGAGATATCAAGAATAAAAGTCAAAGCCATACTTATAGATGAGATCAAGACTTAAAGAAAGATGATATACAAATTCTAAACAGAAAAGCTAGAGCTAATTCAAATCTCAGTAATCAAATTTCAGTAAAAATACTAAGAATAATACAGAAGAAAATTATCTTATAATAGAATTTGAAAATAGCTTTACTGATATAACATTCAGATCTGATCTGATGGCATCTGTATTCAAAAGAGCTGTTGGTCTAAAAGCCTGACTTATTAATATATGTTGCAGCTACTTAATTTATTGCAATAAAGTCTACTTTACTAGCTTTAATTCTAATACAGAATATTAGTACAGGGCTTCAAATAAAGAAATTATTTCTATAAAGAGTAGTAGTATAGTATATGTTAGATGTATTGTTCAAGATAGCATTATTGATGAGATTCATATACATGCATGGTATAATCTGAAGTTAGGCATGAATTTGCTTTTCATAAACCAATTGACTGAAAAGTTGAATCTCTA